CAAGGGGTGTGTGTGTGTGTATGTGAGAGAGAGAGAGGAGAGATGAAGCCTCAGACTCCTAGAGAGTCCTGTAATGGGAGAGAGAGTGGAGGCCTCAGATTCCTAGAGTGTCCTCCAAGGGGGAGCGAGAGCGGAGGCTTTGGGTTCCTAGAGAGTCCTCTATGGGGGTGCGCATGGAGGCCTCAGATTCCTAAACAGTCCTGCTAGGGGAGACCGAGAGCGGAGGCTTCAGATTCCTAGACAGTCCTGTAAGGGGGAGGGAAACCCCCCAGTGGATTTTATGGCTCAGTGGGAGCTGGAACTGGATTTTCCCATGCCCTTGTCTGATATCTTAGCCCCTGCATCACTATTTGTTGTTGTTGCTGCCGGCTTTCAAGTAATTTCTGACACCAACTTTAAGGACCCTGGAAGGCAGCGTGGTGTAGTGGTCTGAGCATTGGACTACAACTCTGAAGATCAGTGTTCAAATCCCTGCTCCACTGTACGCTTCACTGGGTTGTGTTACTGCTTCCCAGAGTCTTCTGTGGAAACAGTGGGACATTTTGCCTGGTGTGCTTGCAGTACCACTGTGCATCCTGCTGTCCAGTCATACATTTGGTGCAAAATGTTGCATTCAACCCAAGTATGGCACAGCATGGGTAATGCTCATCTCAACATGTGGAGATTGATAGTTTTTTTTGTGGGTTTTTTCGAGCTGTGTGGCCATGTTCTAGAAGAGAAAGAAACTCTTCTAGAACATGGCCACACAGCCCGAAAAAACCCACAAAAAAACTATGGATGCCAGCCATGAAAGCCTATGACTTCACATGTGGAGATTGACGTTATGCATCCCCGATGTACATGTCACATCTTGTGCCCTGTTTCCATTCACATTTAGCTTTTGTTGACTGGAACTTAAGTCAGGAATGTTTGAGGAGGCAAAGGTGGGGAAATTGTTTTTAATGCCAGTTGTCATGTAATATTTTGCTGAAAAGAACATAACTGGTTGTGTATGAAGACTGTATCATGTGACTCTTTGTAGGTAGACCTACTAGGACCTTGAACTATGAATGATTTATGTCTCCTGGACCTTCTCCTATATTGCTGTTTATAGGTTAGGACCATGTAGTTTTATTATTTATTTGTTTATTTGTTTATTTATTAAACTTTTAAAATTTGTTATATACATCGACTCAGGCTGCACCAGATGCTTTATTAGACAAGAGTGGTCTGAACTTTAAAGATTAACACCAAGCCGTTGGCCACCCCCATCCTATTCCATCAGATGGATAGGTCCCTCATGAGGTGGGCAGGCCATCGCAGAACACACTGAGACTGTGTCTGAGGGTGGCAGAACACTGAGAAAGAATTTGGCTGGTGGTGGGCCACACATCTAGCTATCAGATCATCCTAGAAATTGACTGATTAAATATCCATAACCCCAGCATCTGGTGGCAACCACAGGAGTTGGTGCTTAAAGACCCAGGATGCCAGCTACATGTCAGAGAACCATGCCCAGTGGGGGGAGAGAAGGCTGTGGTAGTCTTACTTCAAGTGGAGCCCACCACGGAACAGGCGGGTCAAACAGTCCAAGGGGAACAGACAAACTATCCTTCGGTCTACCAAGACTTATGGGAGATGTTCGAGGAGAGAGAGAGTGACTAGTTGCCTCCTCATCAGGAAATGGACTGTGCTGCAGAGATAGAACTCAGGGCACCACCTCCTAAACTTGTCCTTCTTGGCTGGTCGTCCGGGGGGGGGCGTGTTGAAAGTATTTCTTCGGGATACAATCAATGCGTCCTTCAGGGAAGACATTGTACCATCATGTTTGAAGGAGGCAGCCGTCAGACCTCTCCTGAAAAAACCCTCCCTGGACCCCCTGGATAGAAATAATTACAGACCAGTCTCCTTGCTCCCTCTCCTTAGCAAGATGATTGAGAGGGCAGTTGCTTCCCAACTCCAGGCAGTCTTGGATGAAACCAATTATCTTGATCCATTTCAAACTGGCTTCAGGACGACATGGAGTGGAGACTACCATGGTAGCTTTGACCGATGACCTCCGCCTGAGCATCGACAGGGGCAGCTTGACCCTGTTGGTGCTCTTGGATCTCTCAGCGGCCTTTGATACAATAGATCATGCCATCCTCTTGGATCGCCTGAGAGAGTTAGGAATTGGAGGCACTGCTCTGCAGTGGTTCCATTCCTTCCTTTCGGGTAGATCCCAGAGGGTGAGGCTCGGGGACAGTTGCTTATCTAAAATCGAGCTAAATTGTGGCGTCCCTCAGGGCACTATCCTGTCCCCTGTGTTATTTAATATTTATATGAAGCTGCTGGGTGAGATCATTTGGAGGC